AGAAGTGTCTGGTGGAATTTTTTGGATCCTCTAAGTATACAATCATGCCATGGGCAAATAGTGATAGTTTTAGTTCTTCTTTTCCTATTTGTGTCCCTTTAATTTCTTTCATCTGTCTAATTGCTCTTGCTAGAGTCTTAAGGACTTTATTGAAGAGAAGTGGTGAAAAAGGGGACCCCTGTCCTGTTCCAGGTTTTAGAGTGAATGCTTTCAATTTTTTCTCCATTTAGAATGATGTTGGCCTTGGGCTTAGCATAGATAGCTTTGACAATGTTGAGATATGTTCCTATTATCCCTAGTTTTTCTAGAGTTTTAAACATGAAGGGGTGCTGTATTTTGTCAAATGCTTTTTCTGCATCTATTGAGATGATCATATGATTCTTATCTTTAAGCCTATTGATGAATTGCATTTATTGATTTCCATATGTTGAACAAATTTTGCATCCCTGGGATAAACCCCACTTGATTGTGATACTCTATATTTTTAATATGTTTTTCTATTTGATTTGCCAGAATTTTATTGAGAATTTTTGCATCTATGTTCATGAGAGATATTGGTCTGAATTTTTGTTTTCTTGATATGTCTTTATCTAGTTTTGGAATCAGGGTGATATTGGCTTCATAAAATGAGTTTGGAAGTTTTCCCTCTTTTTCTGTTTCATTGAATAATTTGAGGAGTATTGGTGTTAGTTCTTCTTTGAAGGTCTTGTAGAACTCAGCTGTGAATCCATCTGGTCCTGGGCTTTTCTTGGTTGGTAGGCTTTTGATGACATCTTCTTTTCATTGCTTGAAATTGATCTGTTTAATCTGTGTATGTTGTCCTGATTCAGTTTGGGTAAATCTAGAAATTTGTTGAAGTCTTTGATATTTTCTATTTTATTGAAGTACAAATTTTCAAAATAGTTTCTAATTACCTTCTGTCTTTTTGTAGTGTCTGTCTTAATATTACCTTTTTATCATGGATTTTAGTAATTTGAATTCTCTCTCTCCTCTTTGTTAGTGTGGCTAAGGGTTTATTAATTTTGTTTATTTTTTTCAAAGAACTAACTTTTCCTTTTGTCAATTTTTTTCAATTGCTTCTTTATTTCAATTTCATTGATTTCAGCTCTGATTTTAATTATTCAGCTCTGATTTAACTAGTAGTGTTCTTTTTTATCCCTTTTGAAAACTTTGGCTTGAAATCTGCTTTATTTGATATGAGGATGAAAACCCCTGCTTATTTACATAGTGGCATGTTTTGTTTTTTTTCCCAACCTTTCACCTTCAGTCTGTGGATGCCTTCTCCTATGAGATGAGAATCTTGAAGGCAGCATATTGTTGGGTCTTTTTTTAAAAAAATCCAATCATCCCATCTATGTCTTTTGATTAATGAGTTTGGCCATTAACATTCAGGGCTATTATTGAGACATGGTTTGTATTCTCTATATTTTTTGTTCATTTTTTGGTTTTTAACTAGACTTGGTTTCTCCTTTGATTGGGTTTTCCTTTAGTGTGATACCTCCTTTTTCTGTGTTCCATTGTTGATTTTTATTTACTCCTCATTGAATATTTTGCTAAGGATATTCTGTCATTCAGGCTTTCTAGTTGCAAATTCTTCTAACTTGTTTATCATGGAAGGTTTTATTTTGTCATCAAATTTAAATTTAATTTTGCTGGATATAAGATTCTTGATTGGCATCCATTTTCTTTTAGAGCTTGGTATATGTTATTTCAGGATCTTTTAGCTTTCAGGGTCTGGGTTGAGAAATCTGCAGAGATCTTAGTTGGTTTCCCACTGTGTGTAACCTGATTCCTTTCTCTTGTGGCTTTTAAAATTCTTTCTTATTCTGTAGGCTAAGCATTTTCATTATAATATGCCTGGTGTTGATCTGTTGTGATTTTTTACATTTGGTGTCCTAAGCCTCTTATAATCAATTTTCCAATTCATTCTTCAGGTTTTGAAAATTTTCTGATATTATTTCATTGAATAGATTTTTTATTCCTTTGGTTTTTTATTCCTATGACTTCCTCTATCCCAATAATTCTTAAATTTTGTATTTTCATGTTATCCTCAAATTCTTGGATTTTCTGCTCACGGTTTCTTACCGTCTTCACTGTGTGGTCAACTTTATTTTCAAGATTATATATTTTGTCTTCATTGTCTGAGGTTCTGTCTTCTAAGTAGTCTAATCATTCTGTGATGCTTTCTATTGAGTTTTAAATTTGGTTTATTATTTCCTTCATTTCAAGAATTTCTGAGGGATTTTTTTGTTCAGAATCTCTACCTCCTTATTAATCTTTTGCTTCCTGTATTTGCTTATGTAGCTCTTTATCAAAACGATCTTTTGCTGCCTGTATTTGCTCTCTTATATCATCCTTTAATTCACAGAACATTTAAATTATATACCTCCTGAATTCCTTCTCTGATATTTCTTTTGCTGTGCTGGACATGCTTTCTAATTATGTAGTATTCTAGTTTGTTTGGGACACTTTAATCCCTTGTTTTTTTTTCATGTTGTTCATGTTTCTTTCTTTCTAGCAGTGCAGATCTGAGGTGTTACAGTTTTTGCCCTATAGACTTATAGTGTCCCTGCAGCATTCCAATACCTCTCCTTTAAGGGGGAGATCAATATTAACAGATCTCAACACAATCTACATACAGCCTTAAACCTAATTTTGTCACCTTATACAGAAATATGAGTTCAATTATTATCTACAATATAAACAGTAGGTTTGCAAAAGAGTCTACAATTTTTAATGGTAGACAAAGAGAGAACTGCGGTGGGGGTATAGGATGAGATGATAAGGAGGTAGGAGGATAAAGAGTTATTGGATCTTAGGAAGCATGAAAGAGGAATCCAAAGAAGCTAGCTAGTAGCAAGAGAAAAGAGAGGAAGAGATTTTGGGGAGACAAGTAAGTGGAAAGACAATAGAGAGAGTTCAAGAAACAAACAATAAAAATTAAGAAAAGAAAAATGTAAAAATAGAAGATAAAAGAATATACAACACAACTGTAATATGCAGTTCAGAAATCCCAGTCCTCAGTAGCCTAATGCATGTAAATTTTACAAATGTTGGGGATGTGAGGGCGAGAAAAGAGAGGAAAAAAAAAAGAAAAAGAAAAAGAAATCTTGAAGGAAAATTAAACGATTGTTTTTATTGGAGTTCAGCATCTTTACTGCTTCCCTTCTCATACAATCGGTGAAGTTATCTATTGTTTGCTGGTATCTCCACCCTCAGGCTGGTGAAGGTAATTTGAGTGGGAGTGTTGGTATTGGGGGTGGAGGTGGGGTATAGCACTTGCCCAGTCCCTGATGAGAGACTGCACCCCAAGAATCTCCTTTGGGACCTGATCATGTGATGGGGGCACCTGGTCTCCTTATATCACCTATAGACCTCACAATTCCTGGTCTCTAATTTAGTCTCACTGTATCTCACTCAACTCCTCCCTTTCTACTTCCCAATCCAGAGATCTTATGGGCTGCGTGCCCTGGCGCCTGAACACCTGTGGAGGAAAGCTGTTTTGTATCTGGCAGGTGAGGGCCAGACTTTTCAAGCTACAGACTGGCCATGTAGATGCAAGCACTGTGCCTAGTTAGTGGCTATGGGGGCTGGAGGAGTTGGGGAACTACAGGTACCTTGATATTGCTTCTAGGCCCCAGCTGGTATCCCAAGCTGGGAGTTACCCCAACTATAGATGGCAATGGTGGTAGCAATGCTAACCCAAGATGGCATCAAAGGTGTCCCAAGATGGAGGTGGCTGCTTTCAGAGATGGGGCATTGGGGTAGGCTGGATGGTGGCATTGAGTGGCATGTTCAGAGATGCAGCTCTGTGTTGTGCAGCTGTCTCCAGACCCTGTCCAGTATCCCCAGGTGCAGGCTACCAAATGAAGGTAGCAGTTGCAGTGTCCCTAGATGGAGGCAACCGGGAGCCCCACATTGGTAGATGGGGGTACACATGGGAGTGGCAGCTGGGGATACTGCACAGAAGCCATGGCCAGGGGTCCTGCATGGGCAAACCACCAAGGGTCCTGCACAGATGCTGAGGCCAGGAGACCTGCATGGGCAGGGTAGCCAGGATTCCACACAGGAGAAGCTGTCAGGGGTCCTCTAATAACTATCAGAGAAACAGTATTCCCAGTGCTTGAATCTCAGGTCATGGAGTGACAAGGAATGCAGCCTCCCTCTAGCCCACCATCTTGGATTTCTTGTAAAATTGCTTTCTGGTCTAGGATGTGATTGACTACTTATTGTGAGTTCATATATACTTTTAAAAGATTACATATTTTGAAATTGTAGGGGCCCTAACTTAGTATATCAAATTAGTGACTGAATGAATGAGACTTTGCCTTTCTCCTGCCTGAATCACTGCCTGGTACCTTTTCCAATACCTTGAATTATTGGAGACCAAGTTTCTGTCTTTTTAAAGCAACTCCTTCCAATCTGGCCCTATGATCAGAGTCCTACTCCTGAGCTCAGCACAGGGGATGGGTGTATGGGATTCCTTCAGACTATGCCAGGAAATGGTGGTTTCACCTGTGTCTAGTTACTCCTCATGGAGCACCAACTGTTTGCCTGGACAACCCATTACCTTGTACTTAGAAGACCTCTCTTTCAGGACTAGATCTTGATTGTATAGTTTAACCTGCTGGACTAGGATGGAAAATATCCCTACATTTGACAGTTCCATGCTACTTTAGTCCATAGAAAGTCTAGACCCAGGACAAAGTCTTCCCCACTGTGTCCTACCCATCTTTTTTCTGTCTTTTCTTTTCTAGTTTGAGATTGATGCTTATGATCTGTCAATAAATGTACAGTTTCACAGTCTACAGTTCCCATTCCTGACACAGCCATGTCTGTATCAGGGAGACTCTAAGGAGAATAGTGCAGTTTTCTATCAACTTATGCTGAGCCTCACTATGACACCTGCACCTTGGATTGCTGTCCTGATCTTCTCTTCTTTCAAATCCATCCATCCATCCCTCCTGCTGTCTCATGAGCTTGATCTGGCAGAAATCTCCATGGCCTTCATGCTCATGTTGGCTCTCAGTCTCCTCCAGTTTGGGTGAGGTAAGCCATCCATATGGGACTGCTTTCTACCCACATACTGTTGAACAATTTGATTTTTCAACTACAATGATTATTGGCACAATGGGACAAAGGCATCTTTGTTATTTGTATTCTCTCTGCTTCTCCTTACCTCCTAGCTGCATCTACCAATTCCAGGCAGTGTGAAGGACTCAGGCACTCTGGAAATAATTATGGTAGCCCAGAAATAATGAGAGTGGACATCTGAAGAGACACTATGACAATGGGACTGGGACACACTAAAGATGTTAAGATGAATAAATTTAATGTTGTCTCAGCTGAACTGTGGGGGTTTAGTACAGGAGAGGTCTCTAGTAGAGCACCCACATGTCTGACTTGGTTGCCTGAGTGGAAGGAAACACTTTTTAGGATGTTTGAGAGAAAACAATGTGTCCAGCTGTGAACATGCTGAGTTGGGAATGCTTGTGATTATAGAAACAAAGGAGGGAATGGGTCCAGACCTTTAACTGAGGAATCAGTTGGAACCTGGCATATTCTGGGTGCTGTCCTCCACCTTGAATAAACATATTCCAAATGGCAAGAGAAGATCTCAACAGAGAGGCATAAGTCAAGTTCTGGAGTGGAGTTGTCAGTGGGCAGGGAAAGTTTCCAATCTGCTGCAGGGAAATTCAGAGTTGGACAGTGAGGAGCAGGACCTCAGGATCTGCTACTTCATGTCAGCAGATGGTAAGAGATCATCCTGAATAGTCTCATTTTATTTAATAAGACTCTTCTTGAAGATGCATGATAAAATACATTTTATAATTATTTATAAAATATTTAAAACAAGAAATAATTAAACTAAAAATTTAAAATTTCACTTATTTGAGTATTTACATAGGACTCACTTGTCCTTTGTTGCTTATGCACCAATAACAGGTAGATGTATGCATATCATAATAAACATATGTGGATTAATCAAGAGGCATTCACAAAGTAGTTACATATATAGAGGTTTAATAGAGTGGTCATCCACAGTTTAGGAACTCTTCTAAGAGTAAATCTATTCAATATATCATGGCAAGCATGTTCTGCAACAGGAACTTGCCTAGGAAATAAAACGGCACTCACCATTCATCCTTATTACCCTTGTTTTTGTTGGGCATGATGCTAGACCCAGGGGATGCTGTGCTGAGTAAAACACACAGGTCCTGTCCCATGGAGCTGAGAATTGTGGGGCAGAGACTCACAAAAACACAAATACTCGCTATCCTTCAGACAAGATGATCAAATTAAAGATGAAGATGAAGTTGTATGAGAAAAAAATCAACAAAATTAATGTATGTATATTAGCTCAGGCTACCATTGCAAATACCACAGACTGGGTGGCTTAAACAAGAGAAACTTACTTTCTTAATGCTTTGGAGGTGATGGAGGTGAGAATTCCAACATCAAGGTGTCAGAAAATTTGATTTTGGTTGGAGGACTGATAGTCCCTGTGTCCTCACATGGCTGTTCCTCCATACACTTGCAGAGAGAGAGGGGGTAGGGTGCTCCAATATCTTTCCCTCTATTATAAGGACAGCAATCTCATTGGAAAAGAGCCCTGCCCTCATGATCTAGTCTAACCCTAATCACCTACCAAAGATCCCATCTTTAAATACCATCACATTGGAGATTAGCCACAACAGATTATTTGGGTAGAGGAACATAATTCTATTAATTACAGAAATATATGTTGATAAAACATTAGAAGTGCTGTTTAAAGCCAAAATTATAAGGTGGAAAAATTATCAAGCAAGTGCTGAGGGCCATTGCTAAGTAAGAATGACGCATGGCATGACCCAGGTCATTTGCAGTGACATTGCATGTAAGCTGACCTTGCTCAAGGACCAGGGCGGATCCGGGTTTAGGGCGGATCGGGGTTTAGGGCGTTCCTGGTTTAGGGCAATCCTGGTTTAGGGCGGTTCCAGGTTTAAGGTGTACCCTGCTGGGAATAGGGCGTATCCTGCTGCCTCAGGCACGCCTGCTCCTTGAGTTCCCATTGAGTTCTCGCGGGATGTAGAGAGTATTTGGGATGCAGAACGTGGAATTTGGCAGAGAACGTGGATTTGCCCCAGAACGTGTTTGTAGAGTGCCGGAGTGAGTTCGGGAATAAAGAGTTGCTGTTTGAATCTACAAGGTGTGAGTGGCTCGTGATTTTGTGCCCAGCCAGACTGCGGCATTTGGTGGCCTGTATGTGGAACGTCTGAAACTTGGAGGTAAGTGAAATTACTCGCCCCTGAAGGAGGGCGAAAGAATGGGTGACCATTTCAAAAAACAATGTGTTCTTGTTTGGATTTATTTTGTTTTTATTTCAAGTTGCCTGTTCCTAGAACTTTCTCAGGCAAACTGGGGAAAATGGTTGACTCAAGGTTTAAAGTTGTTCGCCTCCGAGGAAGAGAAATTGTTAGAGGAAAGAGGCACCCCAGTAAGACCAAGAACAGTTAGGACATATGTTGATACAATACAAAAATGTAGCCCATGGCTTTTTAAAGACGAGTTATTAAGTATATCAATGGGACCATCCTGGTATCCTGTAGAAGGATTTTTCTTCAACAAGAAAGAGAGGGCTAGTTCTGTTTACTACATTTGTCTAAGATCTTGGTTTTTACAGACATCTGATTAATTTACAAAGCTAAAGTGTTAAAATATCAACCACTAAATATGAAATGAAGTACTCTTTACTTATTAAGTTCCATAAGGTAATATATTTAAACATTATGTGTGTTTTCATAAATTGGTAAATGGAAAAATGTTTAATATTGCTTTGTGTCTGTGTCTTTGCTAAAACAAGGTTACTAAGTGTTAAGATTCTATCATGTGTAATTTATATACAAAGAGTAGAAAAATTTTCAGTTGGGTTTCAATTATAGTATTATAGTATCATAAAAAACATAAAGTCTTTCATCTTATTAAAGTGGAGTAATTTGTCTAAATCAGAAATTTTATAAGAGTTGTTTCAAAATATGAATTTATAAAAAGGGTTAACGGTTAAAAAAGAGATAGAAAAAGATTCAAGATGTGGAAATATATTTTAATATAAAAGGTTAAAGGAAAAAGAAATGTTTCTAGATGAGATAATCTCTGTGTGGTAAAGTAAAAAGTTGTAAAATGTCATTTAAAAAGATTTTGAGGAAACTAGACTTAATTTAAAAGCTTGAGAAAGGAAGAAAGAAGAAAAAGATATTTGTACATGGCAGATTGAGACAAAGCTTCTTAATGGAGGAAAAAAAAGCCTTTGGTTGAAGGGCAGCCACGTAAACTAACATTAAAGCGATTTAAACAGAATCTAAGCCTCGTTTAAAAGAGTGAAGTTGTAGGTGGTGAAAAAGTACATTTAAAAGTACAGTATAGATGATAATTAAAAGGCTTTAAAAGGTTAAATTGAAGGTGGTCGAGATACCTTCATGGCGGAAAAAAGAAAAAAGAGATATAAAAAGATTCAGGATGTGGAAATATATTTTAATATGGAAGGTTAAAAGAAAAAGAAATGTTTCTAGATGAGATAATCTTTGTGTGGTAAAGTAAAAAGTTGTAAAATGTCTAAGTAAGTTGCAAAAGGCTTTAAAAGGTTAAATTTAAGGTGGTTAAAATGCCTTCATGACAGAGGAAAGATTGCGTCATTCAAAGCCTAGTTAATTGTAAAGGCATTACTTAAAAAAATGGGAAGATAATGGGATAAAAGATATTTAGATAAAGAAGATTAAAAATTTAAAGTGAAAAACTTTAAAGACAGAAGTATAGAAAGTTAAAAAGAAAAAAGATAAAGAAGATGTAGAAAGATAGAAAAGATGTAGGAAGACAAGAATTTTAAACCCACAAAATAGGAAACAAAAGAAAACTAGTAGGAAAAAAAGCAACTAAGGGTGAATGTACAAACCTTAGAAGATAAAAACAAGATAAAAAATGGTTAAAAATGTCAAATAAAGGTATTTCAGATAAAAAATGCAAAAAGCTAAGACAACTATTAGATACAGACATTCTAAATAGAAAAAGGTAGAAGAGAAAAGTTTAAAGTCAAATATTGGATAAAATAGAAGATTAAAATGTACTTATTAAAACAAAAAGAGGGAATTGGAAAAGGGTATATATCCCCCAAAGATAAACTTAAAATAACGCTTTTTACTCTAAACTTTTTAAATTTGGATTCATCAGGACTTAGTGCTGCGGAAAGGCATATGTATCCAAAAAATGTACATAAGCCTAAGGTACTTTGGAAAGATATTCTAACAGGACAATGGAAAGGTCCTGACCCAGTGATTGTCTGGAGTCGGGGTTCTGTTTGTGTTTCCACGGGGAGAACAGCAACCGATTTGGATTCCAGAGAGACTAACCAAAGCAATTTCTACAGAATAAAAAGAAGATGATTTTACTCTTAAATCCATAACAGTTGATATCCAGAGCTCCAGCTTGGCTATTCTTACATCTGTGACAGTGATTAACCAGGATGCTTTTTTCAATATCTATTTTATTATTGCATTTTCCCACATCATAAAGTTCTATTTTTTTTTTTTTTTTGAGCTCATACAAACCTAGGTTAATGTTTTTCTGATCAGTTTTATTTTTTGACTGTGGAGTTTTTAAACATTGCAATGGAGATTTCACCTAGGTAAAGCTACAAGGCCTTTATTATTGTCTTATGTGTTGTACGTTTGTGTGCACATTTGTGTTTTGTGTTGTATGTCTGTGTGTGCGTATGTCCATATATCATATATGAGGAGCGCTCATGAAAAAATGGATCCGGATTATTATTTTTTTTTTTATTCACGTGATTTAAATGGTTTAATTTAAATTAGGTAAACAGCTGTTAAGGATTGTTTTTAAAGGTGGTTAACAGATCTGTTTGTTTACTAATTTAAATTAGGTAAACAACTGTTAAGGATTGTTTTTAAAGGAGGTTAACAGATCTGTTTGTTTACTTTCACCTTTCCTTTTCATCATATTTAATAATTCTGTTCAGGATAATGTCTCTTTAGCATCATTGCCAGAATTCCTATCTCCATCCCAGTGCCAGTGAAGACAAAGATAAAACCAGACTACAGCTTCTATGATAGCTATCACAGTAAACTGTATAAACTGATGCATCAATGAATATAACTCAACAAGTAATGCTCAATCAAGGACTCGATTTACTTTGGGAGGAAATGGACATATTGATAGACTCCTCCACTTTGAACTGCTTTCAGAACTTGCCTGGACTATGTATCACTTGTATACATTGTGAACTATCATTTGGTGCAGCGAATTGTGGTAGTACTGGCATATCTTTGCTGATGGTGTCACCAGTGATGCAATTTTTCCAAAGGAGCCGTCAATTGGCTTGGTGTCGTGGCATTTCTGTATCCTCCTCCCTTCTGCTAGTGATGGTCTAAAATTTGGGGGCCAACAGAGGTGAGGCAAAGAACCTCACCCCCACTGGCACCAAGGCCAAAATTGGGGGCCAACAGAGGTGAGGCAAGAACCTCACCCCCCCACTGGTGCATAGGCCTATCCACAAGTATGGCTGTATGCTGGACCGGTAGTCAGTGACGGGTATGATCCAATTGCAGTGGTATCAACCTAAGACAGGAGGCTGACGCCTAGAGGTCAGTTTTTCCCATGACGGGTAAGAACCATATGTTGAATTGGACAACCTACCAGGCACAGTCCTTAAGCCACATTGCTTGTTGTTTAATTAATCAGAAGGGGGGAGATGCTGAGGGCCATTGCTAAGTAAGAATGGTGCATGGCATGACCCAGGTCATTTGCAGTGACATTGCATGTAAGGTGACCTTGCTCAAGGACCAGGGCGGATCCGGGTTTAGGGCGGATCGGGGTTTAGGCGTCCTGGTTTAGGACAATCCGGGTTTAGGGCGGTTCCAGGTTTAAGGTGTACCCTGCTGGGAATAGGGCGTATCCTGCTGCCTCAGGCGCGCCTGCTCCTTGAGTTCCCGTTGAGTTCTCACGGGATTGAGAGAGTATTTGGGATTTCACCCAGAACGTGAATTGGGCGGAGAACGTGGATTTCCCCCAGAACGTGTGTAGAGTGCCCGTGTGAGTTCGAGAATAAAGAGTTGCTGTTTGAATCTACAAGGTGTGTGGTGGCTCGTGATTTTGTGCCCAGCCAGACTGCGGCAAGCAAGTGTAAAAGATGCACTCCATGGAAGGAATACGTCACAACGTAAGTGTACCAGAGAACCAACCTCTAAGATAAAAATGGCAAATTCTCCCTGCCATAGTGTTGAACATGTTTTTCAGAATTTTGCAGAATAAGTACACAGATAGTAAGGAAACACAAATAAACTTTTATAGGTAAAGAATATATATTCCTCTAATTGTATTGATAAAACATTTACAAAATGAGGAAGCAAATTACTGTAAGATGGAGATTTAATCACCTCATACTACTCTTCTAAGTCATTGAAAAAAAGGGTGTTCTTTGCATTTTTGCCAAGGAAATAGAAAAAAAGAACTGTTTTGAGATTTTGCTGAGCAGATGAGTAGAGGAAAGAGAATGTGGGTATATACTCTCCTTTGATGAAAAGGTCCTCTTTTGGAGATTGTGCCCTCATGCCTCTAGATAACTTACTTAATGACATGAGTTTTTCACCTTGAAAATGGCAATGTCAATAAAATACACTTCTCAGGTCTTTTGGAACCAAATGAAGTAACTGATATGAATATGTTATGTCAATTGTAGGAATATGCAGATATGATATCTCTGGGCTTAGAAAAGGGATCATGATGAATGTTCCATTCATGAACATCACTGCCCTAAGTAGGTTTTGCTTACTTTTCTCTTGTGTTTACTCTCACAGGCCAGTGGCAAGTGATTGGGCCAGACAAGCCTGTCCATGTGCTGGAGGAGGAGGACACAATCTTCACCTGCTTCCTCTCTCCTGAGACAAATGCAGAAGCCATGGAAATGAAGTTCTTCAAGGATCAATTCTCTGGTTTGGTCCATCTCTACAGGGATGGAAAAGATCAAAATTTATGCAGATGGCAGCCTGTCAAGGGAGGACTGTGTTGGTGAAGGACTTCTTTGTACTTGGACAAGTCTCCCTAGAACTAGAAAAATTCAATTCCTCAGATGCTGGCCTGTATGGATGATGGTTCTGCTCCCAGACTTATGAGCAGAAAGCCACTAGGGAGCTACAGGTGTCAGGTCAGTTGCTTAATTCTGAAAATTCAAGACTTCATTCAAATAGAAATTTCCTGAACTTTACAATTTGTTAAATCAAAAGATTTTAAATACAGGATTATTTATTTACAAAACAACATGATACACTATTAGTTTATTCATTTTTGTGCATAGTTCTTGTTTTATCCTATATTCTAGCCTAGATTCTTGAAACTACCACATCAACTATCTCATTACCACAAAGTCCTCCCTCAGTTACCCTTTCAGTTACACTCACCCTCCTCCATCCCTAAAATCCACCAACACTTGGCAATCTATTTTCCATTTCCATAATTGTGTTATTTCAAGAGTGGTATATAAGTAGAATTATACAGTATATTACCTTTTAGGATCATCTTTTCCCACTCAACATCATGCTCGTGAAATTCAAGTTTTTGCTTTTGTCAACATTTTCTTCCTTTTATTGCTGAATAGTATTATCAGGTATGGATGCACAATAACTTGTTTAACCACTAATCCATTGAAGGAATGGGTTGTTTCTATTTTTGGTTTATGACAAATTAAGATGTTATAAATAGGGGGCTGGGATATAGCTGAATTGGTTGAGTGCTTGCTTCACATGCACAAGGCATACACACACACACACACACACAAAAAAAAAAGGATGTCATGAATATTTGTGCATAATGCTTTATACAGACGTTAAGTTTCATTTGGGGAAGAGAAATGCCTGGGAGTGTAATTGCTGGGTTATAAAAGTGCATGTTTTAAAAGAAATTTCAAAACTGCTTTCCAGAGTTGTTATGAGAAGCTGCTTCAGAAAACACTCCGAATTCAAGTCAAAGAGAGCTTTATTTACTTGACCAGGGACTGTCACCCAACCATAGAGACTGAAGCTCTGTGGGAGAATAGCCATTTCCTGGCCCGTGTCTTGGGAATTTAAGAATGAAAACCACAGCTTAGGGACTTTTCTTAACGTCAAGCAAGCAAGCCAATCATAGAAGCTAAAACAGCAGTCAGCACAGCAACTCAGACAATCGCATCTTGGGTTTAAGCAGGTGTTAGATAACTGAATCCTGGGTTCAAGCAGCTGGTTAGCCGGGATGAGAATCTACTTTAAAGTCTTGGGTCACCAAGACAACCATATCTTTGGGTTGAGTACATTCTGTGGGGTACAAAGTACAGTAGACAATATATTATATTATATTATATTTATTATATTATTTGTTTTAATTTAGCAGAAAACAGCTTTTATTTCAGTTTCTCAGAAACAGCTCTTGTAACAATTTTTTTTTAATAGAAGGCAGCATAATGGAGTTTCAGGCTTGCATATGTCAGTTCTTGCTTTATAATTGTCTTATCTCACTTATCAAAATCTTATATTTGTAATCTATATTTTTTACTAATCTATAGCCTATAACTTACATTCTTATTGATTGTATTTATCAGTTCACACCACAACAGAGTATTATATTTTACATTCCTGCCAACAATGTATGAGTATTCCAGTTTCTTCTCACCAGCATTTGGTATTCACAGTTCTTTTAAAAATTTTAACCATCTTAATTTTCTCAACTTTGTTAAGAAACAACTTTTGGTTTCATTGATTTTTTTTCTCTATTGTTTTATTTCTGTTTTATTCACCTCTGTTCTGATCCTTATTATTTTCTTTATTTTGCTAGCTTTGTGTTTAATTTGCTCTTATTTTTCACATTCCCTAAGTTGTAAATTTTAAGGAAATCTTATTTCATTTTAGTGTAAGCCCTTATAGCTACACATTTTATCCTCAGCATCACTTTCTTTGCATCTCATAAGTTTGAGTATGTTGTGGTTTTGTCTCTGTTTCCACTTTTTCATTTCCTTTGTGCTTTCTTCTGGGTCCATTGGTTAAGAATGTGTTAATTCCCATAATTTGCAAAATTTCCAGTTTTCCTTAAGGTTTTCATTTCAAACATTATGCAATTGTTTCAGAAAAGTTTTTTTTTTTTTGTGACACATAGCTTTTAAAATCTATTAAGATGTACTTCGTATTGTGCATCCTAGAGAATATCCCAAGTGCACTTGAGAAGAATGTGTAGTCTATTGTTGGGTGGAGTGTACTATTGTCTTAGATTTTATGTGCTTTGGTATGTTGTTCATCTTTTATTTTCATACTTATCTTCTACCTAGTTGTTCTGTCAACAGTTTAGCAGGGTAATGAAGTACTCTACTAAATTGTAGAACTATTTATCTCTTTGTATCTGCCATTTTTTGCTTTGTAAATTTCTCTGATATGTCATTTTAAGTGCACATATTTTTGCATTTGTCAACTCTTCTCTGGGTAGAAGAACCTTTCATTTACATATGATGTCCTTATATATATCATGTTTTAATTTACCATCTACTTTGTCTGATATTAGTAGAGCTATCTTGTCTCTTTTGCTTTCTGTTTTTCTAGAATCTTTTTATCTCTCTCTCACTTGTAAGCTGTATGTGTCCTTACATGTGAATCTCTTTAGATGGCATTTAGTTGGGTTTTACTTTTAAAAATTTATTCAACAATATCTGTCTTTTGATTGGAACATTTAACCATTTGCATTTAGAGCAATAATGAAGAGTGACTTCTATAATTTAGATATTTACTTTATATAATATATGAGTGTGTGTATGTATATAGATAGATATATAGATACAGATATATATAGCTGTTGATGGAGACAATACATATATATATATATATATATATATATATATATATATATATATATATAGAGAGAGAGAGAGAGAGAGAGAGAGAGAGAGACAATACCTTTATGGGTTTTTTGTTGTTGTTGTTGTTGTTGATTTTTATGTGGTGCTGAAGATTGAACCAGTGCCTCACCATGTGCTAGGCAAGTGCTCTAACACTGAGCCACAACCCCAGGCCTAGATATTTACTTTCTTATAGCTTTTATGTTTCTTGTTTTAAACATTGTTTCTAAACTCATGAACTGATGATTGTTTTCATTCCCTTAGTACTTTAAATCATGTAGAAAACAAGGAACATAACATCTTCCTCCCTCCCTTCCTTCCTTCCTTTTATTTATTTACCAGGGCTTGAACCCAGGAACACTTAACTACTGAGACACATCCCCAGACTTTTTTATTTTAATTATTTGAAAGAATTTAATCTTATTTATTTATTTAGCAATTTATTGTTATGTGGTGCTGAGAACCAAACCCAGTGCCTCACACATGCTCAGCAAGTGCTCTACCACTGAGTTACAACCCCAGCCCCTTATTTGTTATTTTGAGACATGTCTTGCTAAATTGCTTAGGGCCTCACTAAGTTGCTGAGGCTGATGTCAAACTTTTTATCCTCTTGTCTCAGCCTCCTGAGTCATGGGGATAATAGGGGTGTACCACCATGTGTGGCTTCTTCTTTTATTTTTAATTGACAAGTAAAAATTGTGCTCATTTTTAGTATAATTTTCTTTGTGCTTGGTTGAATTTTTATTTGGTTTGGTTTTGGTGCCAGGGAGTGATCCCAGGGACACTTAAGCATTGATCAACATCACCAGCCCTTTTTATGTTTTTTATTTTGAGACAGGGTCTCTCCAAGTTGCTCAAGGCCTCACTGAGTTGCTGAGGCTGACTTGGAACTTGTAATCCTCCTACCTAAGCCTCCTGAATTGCTGGGATGAAAGTCATGCACCACTGTGCCCTGCTGATTTTTTTTATAGTGAAACATTTAAATGCTATTCTTATTTGTCTGTCTGCCTGTGTGTGTATTCTATAGCTATGTGGTTTTTTTTTTTTTTTTTTTTTTTTTTTTGGTGTGTGTGTGCTGTTACCATAAGTTAATGTTTAACATCCTAAAAGAGAATTATACTAACTAATGTCAGTAACATCAAAGAATCTACTCCTATATAGTTCTGTCCTCCCTGCTTTTAGTTATTGAAGTAACAAAATTAAATTTTTATACATTGTTTCCCAACTCATGAACTGATGATTGCTTTCATTGCAGTAGTACTTTAAATCATGTAGAAAACAAAGAATGAAGTTAACAAAAGTTACAACAAAACTACCTTTTAAAATTGTCCATGATTTTACTATTACTAGAGAGCTTTATATTTTAATGGCATTGAATATTCTTTAATTTCAAACTGAAAAACCTCTTTTAGCATTTCTTGAAAAGTAGGTCTAATGATAACAAATGCCCTCAGGTTTTGTTGGTTTGAGAATGTCATCATTTGACATTCGTTATTGGAAGATACAACATGAGATATCCTCTGAGTTTTTCTCGCCATATATTTATTGGTATGTTATAGGTATCCATGATGGTAGGATGATGGGATTTGTTACGTATTCATACATACACACAATATAATTTGTCCATATTATTCCCCAGTATTTCTCCTATACCGTCTAGCTTTGTTGGTTATAGGATTTTGTTTGACAATGCTTTTTTTCTTCAGAATTCTGAATATAGCAACCCATTATCTTCCAGCCTTCAAGACCAAGTTGGCACCAAGATGCTTAAATATTCTCTAATTCTTAAAAAATATTTCCAACAGGAAATCAGATGATTACTTCATTAGGGTTTCCTTAATTGTTTGTGGTGAATAGCTTCTCTTCTGCTTTTAAGATTTTTTCTTGGTCTTGGTCATTTGACAGTTAAATTATAATGTTCTTTGGTGTGTGTCTCTTTTGAGTTTATCCTACTAGGAGTTAATTGACCTACTTACATCATTCAAACACAAAGAGCTCTCTACTAGCCATTTTGAAATACTTAATTTTCAACTGAAGTTGCCCTACAGTGCTATCAAACATTAGAAATTATTCTCATATCCAACTGCAATTAAAAGCAGAACACATATTCTTTCAAGTGATAGTGGAACATTGTTGAAATTTCCATCTAAAATTCTGTTTCATGTCAGTGACTGTTGTTTGATGCATCTATATTTAGGACTCTAATGATTTCCTGGTAGATATATCCATTTATCATTATGTAATATCTCTCCTCTCTCAAAATTCACTTGGCTCTGATGTCCACTTTATGTGAT